TTTAAACATTATGTAAAGAACATCTGATGTTGATAGACATTATATGCGTATGCTGATGTAATAGAAATTTGGAGTGTGCTTGATTTATATATGGAAGTCCAGTATGGTTTTGAGGAGGTAATATAAAACCTTAGTTTAATAACAATTATGTGGTGTATATTAATATTTTACAAACTAAATGCCACCAGTATCTTTATAGATTGATAGGATTATATGTTCATGTGTATATGTGTGAATGTGGGTCTGTATGTATGTGTATGTAAATATATTCATACACCTGTACCTACACACATTCAGTGATGTCATAATGGCACTTCATACTGACTTTAAAGTGCTGCTGATTATTGAAATTTCTGGATTTTCGTGAGTCAGTTTTTGTTTAAAATTATATAAAATTTCAGTTAAATTATATAGAGAACAAAGGAAATAAGTAGCACTCATCATTTACTAATAATTTCCTCAATTTCACTGTTACCTCTTTGCCTATTAGGGGTCTCTATGGTGAGATTACTGTGTCATAGGGTACCACTGCACATCCCTTGCAGACCCCATCATGGGCCATCTGTACTGTCATGTTGGTAGCTTGGTCTTCTAATATTTGCACTGTGAAAATTGATAAACCATGTATTGGGGTTTTGATTTTCTTACTAATAATTTCCTCAATTTCACTGTTACCTCTTTGCCTATTAGGGGTCTCTATGGTGAGATTACTGTGTCATAGGGTACCACTGCACATCCCTTGCAGACCCCATCATGGGCCATCTGTACTGTCATGTTGGTAGCTTGGTCTTCTAATATTTGCACTGTGAAAATTGATAAACCATGTATTGGGGTTTTGATTTTCTTAAATAGCATGTGTGTCTGTAAGAATAAATGCCATATTTAAAGTATACACCACACTTCTGTTTCCTAAAATAAATAATATCTGTGGCCATCATTACTGAACCGCCTCTGCAGTGAAGAAGCCAAACGATGTGTTTGTGAGCCTTTAATTACCTCAGAGTCCTGTTTTCAGTCTTTCCAATCTCTTGATAACTTAGCCAGTATATATACATTTTACGTGACAATTTGTTTCACACACAAAAAAAACCTTTGTCTAAATCTACTTTTCACTGTTTCTTGGTCTATAATGAATACAAATAGTGGTTATCCCCAAACTGCCCCTTCAGTGAAGAAATCAGTATTTTTCTGAGGTTTTTCAGCTTCCTCTGTGTCAGTCATGTAAATGCTGTTAATAAAAAATGGTACTTACATGAATTGTGCAAAGGTTAACATCAGTTGTAAACAGTAATACTAAAAAATAATAGTGTATAATAAAATGCCCATCTCATACTCTTGGTATGTCATTGTGTATCATATAATTTAGGCATGGTAGATGTCACCCTCATCCTGTGTAACCCAGGAACCCTGTGCTTGTATTTAGAATTATAAAGTGTTGTACAGTGTCTCTGCCTTCTTTGTTCTTTGTTCCCAGTGCCTCTGGAAACACAGTGATAGGTAATAGAACCTGCTACCTTCTTCTTGGCTGAGCTGGTTTTATCTCTTTGTCCTCCTTCTCCCCAGATGATTTAGGGGATAAATGCAGATTTAGTCAAAGCTAATCATGGAAACTCCATTCTGACAATCTCATTGGGTAAGTATATGAACAGTGACATTAGGGAATACTATATAGTACTTCTGTAATAGATAACAATGATGAAGTATTTTCATAACATGAGAAGGTGTAAGAGACATGGAGAGAGATTGGACCTCTTCTGATGCATCTGTTCACATCTTTCTGTGACAATGGCTTCTTGTTTGTGGTCTGGAAGGGCAGTAGCCTGAAGATGAGAGTGTGCACAATGGGGAATCTGGCACAGACAGGATGGCACTGAGCTGCTTAGCACTCTACAACTGCTCTAGGTCTTTGTATTATCTGCTACAGTAACTGTTTCTAATTTATATTAGGACTATCTGATACTTAGAGCTGAAGGCATTCAAGCTAATAACGGAACACTTCTAAGTGTTAATTCTATACAGTGATCATGGGAAGAATTTCTTTTGACAGTTTGATATAGGGATGGATGCTTGTTTAAGCCATGGTTCTTTTCAGTGGAACCTAGAATTCCTCAACTAGAGAGATTTTACTACAGTGGTGTGGTCCAGAAACAAGGGATGCTGAGACAGCTAAATATTAGTGCCTACAGACAGCCATTCCCATTCTGACAAGGATGTTAACTGCATTACCAGATTCCTGTGAGAGCTGCTGTCATTGAGAGAACAATGTCACTACCAAACTTATGGCACCAAATTGCTAGTTCCTTCATTTGAAGACCCTAACTGGAGACATCAATTTGCGGGTGAGCCCAGGTAGGTTCGGGGAGGGGGGTGGGTGGGATTCTGGGTAGGGAAAATGTAGAATTAGCAGCATAGTGATTTTCATCTCTGTGAATTCCTATGTAAAGCTCTTAGTATTCAAAATAAAGTTACGCTAATTAAAACTTAGTTTCCACTGTGTTGTACTTTCTTATTGGTATAAATGAATTCCCTTTGGAATTGAGTCCTGTGGCAGATATGCCTGTCTTCTGACATGTTTGAGGTGTCATTGTGTTAAATCACATTATTCATGCATCTCTCTGGTATTCCTGGATGTATGTGGTGTGAAGTAAGCGGCTCTGCATTCTTCCCCAAAAGTTAGCACCGTTTACCTGTACCATTTCACTCCTCACCCTTTCCTTGTTGGTTTGTTATGACATTATATCATATACTTAGACATAACATCTTGTGGTTATTGCTTTATTCTGGTTAAACTTGTCAACATCTTTATAGTGACAGAATCTATACTTGTGATCATACAGTAGGTGTTTACCCCAGGTAGCCAGCATTGGCATACCAAAATAAGGCAGTTAGTACTGACCAGAGAGTGCTTTGAAATGTCACTATGGATCAGACCATTTGTGTTGTTGCCACCAGAAGTCATGTCAAGAACATATATTTGAGGGTCTGGAAAGATGGCTGGGATGTTAAGAACGTTGGGTGCTCCTGCAGAGGACCTGGATTCGGTTCCCAACTCCCACATGGTGGCTAACAGCCATCCATAACTCCAGTTCCAAGAGATAGGATGCCCTCTTCTGACCTCCACGGGCATTGCATGACATGGGTGCAGCTGCATACATACATGCAGGCAATATACTCATACACATAAAATAAAATAATAAAATATTTTTAAGAAGAAAATACATTGGTACTGTAGTCTATTCAAAGTCAGCTCTACACACACAGTACATTTGCAAAGGAGATAATGATTTCAAATGTTACAAAGAAAACTTAAAATGGAAAAAATTATTAGCAGGATAATTTGATCTAGGAAGAAGAGGAGTAGACCCCATTAAAAAGTCTACATTGAGGGATGAGCTAAAGCAGATGAGAGAGAGAGAGAGAGAGAGAGAGAGAGAGAGAGGGAGAGAATGAGAGAAAGGGAGACATGTTTAGATCGTATTAATGTCAGAGTATGAGGGAAGAGAGGAAGAAAACATGAGCAGCATTAGGGTCCTATTTAAATAAATATTTGTTCCCAAATACTAATCTGATTTCATAACCAACAAATGAACCATCTCCCAGTATTCTAGTATGTGAAACTATGTTGTGGATTCCAAAATTATTAAGAAATTAAGAAATTACTTCCAGTACCTGGAAATTGTTTTTTGATAAATTCCCAAGAGACTGTTTTTGGAATTGGGCCTATTTGCTGTCTCAATGTATCCATCCCTCTTTTGGTATGCCTCAGCATTTCCCAAGTCTATACTTATACACTTGGCAGGTGGGGTCAAAGCCTCTGGGGCGTTCAGACCCTGATGAACCTTGGTTCCCTCAGCAACCTCCTTGCTTGCTGCCCCCAGTTGGAGACTCCAAGATGTGACCACCTCCCCTCTTTCCCACCATCTCTTCTCCCTCCCTTTGTGAGGAAGACTTGCCTATTCCTCTTTCTTAGTTTCCTCTGAATCTTCATTTGTCTTTCAGGCCCTGGGAACTGCACATTGTAGCCTAATGCTTCTGTCTGCTGAACTCCACCTTCCTTCCCCACTTTCCTCAGACTTTACATTCCTTGGGATTTGTATATACTAGGTAAGCAACATAAAGTGGAACCCTAAGAGACACCATCTTTTAGAAAACAGAGTTCCCCCTGGATACTCTGTGAGATGAGAAGCAATGTTTGAAATCCCTCCCACATCTTGTTTAGACAAAGAAACTCCTCTCAGGACTTAGTTTCCTCATCCACAAAGTAGAGAAGATTGTTATCCTATCTCAGGACTGGCCCTTGCCCACTTTCCTGCTACCAGTAGTCTAGTCCCCCAATTCTCACTTTACCCCTCTGAAGAAGGCCAGCTCCTCAGAGAACAAGGGGAATTCAGAGATATTATACTCAGTCCCCTTATGAAGGCATGTCTAGTGCTTGTGGCTTTCAGATCATGTCTCTCCAGTCATACAAGCAATTTAGATACAGTTGACAGCTGCAACTGATGCCCATGGCCTGGTGGGACTTTTTTTCTGTCCAGGATTAGGTACTCCTGGGCTGACAGCCATAGCAGAGAGCTATGCTGGGAGAATAAATACTCTGTGGAGCACGAAGATGAGCTTCTTCAGTTCATCCCTCTACCATATGATTTTACTCCCATAAAGTAATGTAAACTTTAGTTCAATGTGGGTCTCTTTCCATACATTGTAACCCACTGTGATAGTTTCAGTTATTAACTTGACACCTTCTAGAATCTCCTGGGAAGACAGT